ACACTAGGTAGACCAGGCTGGCCTTGAACTCACAGAGATCCACCTGCCTCTGCCTCCCCAGTGCTGGGATTAAAGGCGTGTGCCACCACGCCTGGCAAAAGATGCTCTTTTTAAAAGATGTATTTATTTATGTGTGTGATTGTTTCGCCTGCATATATGTGCACCCCATGTATACCTGGTGCCCATGGAGGCCAGAGAGGGTGTCAGATCCCTGGAGATCTCTGTAACTTGAGTTAAAGGGAGTTTTTAGCTGCCATGTGGATTCTGGGAACTGAATCCAAGTCCTCTGGAAGTGGTCTTCACCACTGAGCCATCTCTCCAGTCCCAAATGGTGGTCTTTTTATACAAGAGAGAGCTTCAGTTTTGTAGCAAGGAGAGTCAAGACGTGCTCCTCACACCATTTTGTAACTACTTCACCATTTTGTAACTACTTCGCAGCCTCCTAATGTCACCTTTTGCTCTATCAACTAGAAAGCTACCCTGTGATTAAAAGACAATGAAGGTGGGCTGGAGAGAGAGCTCAGCTCTTAAGAGCACTGGCTGCTCCTCCCAGTACCCACATGACAGGTCACAACTGTCTAACTCCAGTTCCAGGGAGTCTGACACCCTATTCTGACCTCCACAGGCATTGCACATACATGGTTCACTTATATACAGACAAAACACAGATCAAAAATAGCCTGGTGTGATGGTACTTGTCTTTAATGCTAGCACTTGTGTGGCAAAGGTAGGCAGATCTCTGGGAGTTTGAAGCCAGCTTGGTCTGCATAGCAAGTTCCAGGCCAGGTTAACTCTGTCTCAAAAACAAAAAATAAAAATAACTAAAATTTTTTTTTGATCAGTGAAGGGAGCTGGGAATGTAGCTTGCTGCGTAGAGTGCCTGGCTGCTGCATTAGCGTTCTCTAGAGGACCAGAACCAGTAGAGTGACTACCTGTAAAAAGGGATTTATTAAATTGGCCTACCCAATATGGGCTGAATAATTCAGCAGTGGCAGGCTGCACCAAAGTGGCTGCAGTCCACGAGGCTGGCCACCACAGCAGTCTCAATCTGGCACGGAAGGCCTGGAGGGTTCTTGTAGAGCTGCTCACCTTCAGTCCGTGTTAAAAGACCAAAGTAGTAAAGGATGGCAGCAGCGACTGCATAGATGCCCTCACTGGAAGAGAGTGCAGTGGGCAGGCAAGGCAGCTCTGCTTTTCATTCAGTTATTATTTTATGTTTGTGAGTGTATTGCCTGCATGTATGTAAGTGCACCCATGTCATGCAATGCCTCTTCTGGAAAGCCAGAAGAGGGCGTCGGCTCCCTTGGAACTGGAGTTACGGACAGTTTTTAGCCATGTGGGTGCTGGGAATCAACCCAGGGTCCAGTGTTCTTAGCCGCTGAACCATCTCTCCAGCCCCTTCATTCAGTTTTTTATATCAGCCACAGCTGGGAAGTGCTGCCCACTCTGGGGGAGAATCTTGCCGCCTCCATTATTCCTTCCAGGAAATCCCCTCACTCATAGACCTGTCCAGGGACATATTTTTTAGTTAATCCCAGATCCAATCAAGTTGCCAGTCAAGATTAGCCATCAACACCGCCCAGTATAGGGCGGACCCCCGGCGTGGTGTGTGCGGGCACCCTGGGGTCTCCACCACACCTGGCTAATCCTGGCGTGAGTCTGGCCGCAAGCGATGTGGGGAGCACGCCTGGGCTCCCAGGCGCACTCACTCTGGATGTGGCCCAGGGTCAGGTGTGCGTGCACTCTCCCGCCGCTGTGGTTCTGGTCCCGCTGGCGGCCGTGCCTCTCTGGAGATGGCAGGTACGCAGACTTCTCTGATGCTGGCTGTAGCT